CGCCACTTTTAGCAATATTCCAGCAATATCACGGCGGGTGACACCAGAAATGCGCATCACACATTGTACCCATATCGGGAATCGAACCCGGGTCTTCAGCGTGTCGAGCGAACGCTTTAACCACTGGGCTACCCGACCGCCCCCCCAAACACAATGATACATTTGTTTCATATGTGATTAGTGGATGTGTGAGCTTGAGTTGGATGTCTTCCACTTTGGTCCCCATTCTGCTTGAAAAATCCTGTACACCCTGCTGGTGACACATGTAACTGATTATAACAAGAAAACAAATATATCAGACTAACAAGACTGTAACTACGACAAATGCATGATGCCACATCAAAGGGATATTTATCCACACTATCATGTAAACATCAGTAAGAACACACACAGCAGCAGATCTGATGATGAAGATGGTGAAGATGACGGTGACGCTGATGATGCTGATGATGATGACAGAAGATACCAATCCTAATTTTTGTTAGCAATTTGTTTCTTAGCTGATATGACCCAAAATGGTCACACAAGGTGTACCTACCTTCCACTAACAAATCTACATATGAACAGAAACATTCAGCGGTAACTGGACGCGTCCACACTGCCACGTTCAAGAAATACTAATCTGTGACCAACAAGCACACCTGATGAAGTTCAGTGAGTCAATGTAACTAATAGGGATGATGATGATGATGATGATGATGGTGATGATGATGATGAAGGTGATGATGATGGTGATGATGATGATGATGATGATGATGGTGGTGGTGGTGGTGATGATGATGATGATGATGATGATGATGATGATGATGATGATGACGACGACGATATTTGGGATTCGAAACCAGTCAGTAAATCCTATCACAGTATGGCAGGGAACACTGCATAGAAATTCATAGAGCCTCATAGAAAAGATTGCAACCCATTAGGATAATGACATGATGATGAAGACGATGAAGATGCTGCTGCTGATGATTATGACAGCTTAAAACCCCTGAAGTCTATTATTTTCTGCATCTGACGTTGTACTTAGCATCTGACATTCCTGGTACAACAACACCATTCCTCACCTAACAAAACACTACCATGTACCAAACTAGAAGAAATTCCAATGTCGGACCAAAGACGTATCACAGCCCAATGAGTTTTGTCTCATCAGTACCAAGTACCCCATCGACCAATCACTGAATCGGATGTCTTTGATAACGCTGACAACGTTACGGATGCTGAAGATCATTGGAACTGTAGTCTGGGATGTCTTTGATGCCGCTGCTGATGTCGCAGATAGTCGAGAGTCTCCATCAGATCAGTCACAGTATCAGCCTAAGTGCAACACCACATACCCAGCCACATATGTTATGCAGGAACACATTACTGGTAGACATAGCTGTAGGAGGTAGGTGTTACCAGGGCTGTCATTGTTCTGACAGATCAGTCAGAGAGGGTGAACTCATTGACCTATTAGTTCAGCACATGTGAGTTTACCTTCTTCAAAGACTATGCTGAATTAACCAACATATTTTGAGGAACTATGTGGGAAGGAATGAAATACATTCAGTACTAATTTAATGAGTGCAAAAAATTACTTTCGGCTATTGGAAATCTAGCTTCTCAGCATCTTAAAGCTCCATTTGATGATTCCGCCTTTTGATCAGTGGCATCACAGCTATGGGCCAGTCTTCAAGTACAAGGTAGTTCTGTATGAGCCTGTGAAGACCAGGTAGAATTGGTCTTTATCAACCCATGCTTGCCGTAAGAGGTGACAAATGGGATTGGGTGGTCATACTCGCTGACTTGGTTGATGCATGTTATCGTATCAAATTGGGTAAATCAATGCTCATGATGAGTGAGTTAGTGAGTATGGTTTTACGCTGCTTTTAGCAATATTCCAGCAATATCATGGCTGGGGACACCAGAAATAGGCTTCACACATTGTACCCATGTCGGGAATCAAACCCGGGTCTTCAGCGTGACGAGCGAACGCTTTAACCACTAGGCTACCCGACTGCCCCCAATGCTCATGATGACAATCATTTAATTGTCTGGTCAAGAATCGACTATTTACATACCACTGTTATATAGTTAGAATATTGCTGAGTGCAGAGTTATCAACAAAACTTTACAAGCAACTATTTGCAAGAAACATCAAAATGTTGAAAGTACATATTCCTACAATAACCATATATGGAAAAAAACCATGTACTTCTTCCTGTTAGATTTAAGTTGAGTGATTAAAAGTTCCAAAAGTAACTTCTTGACACATAATCATCCAACTGAAATAAAAAATCAAACCATCTCACACAAAACAAAAAAAAAATTTAAAAAAAATCAAAGTGGGTGAATGACCCATTGACTCACTTCTCCCTGACAAGCAAGGTCCTGTCTCTTCACCATGACCATGACATGGGCTGTACAGGGTCACGACATTCTAGTCCTGTCAGGGGACAACTAATTGATATGTCGGTGTCCACTTTTGTCCAACATACCAGCCATCTACATGCTTTGGTCATTTGTCCTGGAATTTGCTTTTTGTTCCAAGTAGTGTTTTCCACACTGCTATTTGTATAACATTTGTGGAAGTAATGCTATCCATACAACAGCCTTTGTTGTCTGATGTCCATGCTGTCATCTGAACATGGGTGATTTAGGGGCAGCATCATGACCCCTCTCACAATAGCACTGACCTATGGTCTGCATTAGTAAGACGAGGGTGTTGTTGGTCATCCAACATTAATAATGTATGAATATAATCGCAAGCTTTAACATTCTCATCTACCCCACTGTACTATTATACAGTTAACTACGGTTATAACGAACTCAAAGGGACCATGTTTTGTTCGTTATAACCGCCGTTAGTTATAAGCATATATACAGCAAATGGCAGGGGAAAAAAACAAACGTTTGTCATATCCGTCGGTTCGTAAAAAGCGTTTTCGTTATGAACATAGTATACTTATAAAAAAAGACAAAAACATATCTGTGATCTGTAAGAGAAACTCAACAGCCACACAATATACACCAATTCTTCATGAAGCCGAAGTCATGGCACCATTAGGCAGCTGAAAATTGTACTCATGAAGTTTTGTGATCCTCGTTCCAACTATTCCTGAAGCAAGATGATAGCATAGACTCAGCATCTCTTGAGGGTGTCAAGATGTGCAAGCTTGCTTCACAATAACAAATGGCAGTTACCCAACAAAGAAAGAAGTACTATGTTAGTGGCAGTACAATCTTACAAACACACCGTGCCAACTGGAGGTTGATGTCTTATTGGCCACAATTGCCAATTGTGCTGAATGCTTTGTTTCCCTGAATCAGTGACAGATGCTGAGTTAATTGAAGTAATTTTAGACATTCTTGAAGATGTAGCCATGTCCAGTGAGACCCATGAGTCTTGACTATGACTGATGAAGGGACAGGATGAACTTGTGCGTTCTGGTGCTGGTATTGGGCGCTCTCATACACCATCTTCAGTGTAATGGACACATCGTGGGATATCAATGTCAGATCCTAGACAATATTGGACCTGTATCCTGATCTTTCATGTGTATGTTAAAACACTTGCGTGACACTTCATGATGAGCAATGTAGATTGAGAAGGACGTTCCACATAACACACAGTCTGCACATGTATACATGAATTTTTCATTGGAAACCTGAGAGTATAGAAACACATGAACCATAGACAAAGGACAGAAAGTAGAACCACTTCTTTAGAAAATGCCTGTACAGCACATGTCAAAAAGACATCCTTTTCTATAAGGCTGAAATATGAAGATATTTGTTTCTTGGTCAACAACTTTGTTATGGTAATGAACCACATGGATGTAAGATTATATTTGTTTAAGTGCAATGCTGTCAATGCTATCTTCTCAACTTTTTTGTGGATTTTGTTTTTTTATGCAATCAGATCTTGAGATTTGGTTGGTTGGTTTGTTTGTTGTTTAACGCCGCACTCAGCAATATTCCAGCTAAATGACGGCGGTCTGTAAATAATCGAGTCTGGACCAGACAATCCAGTGATTAATACCATGAGCATCGATCCACGCAATTGGGATCGATGACATGCATCAACCAAGTCAGCGAGCCTGACCACCCGATCCTGTTAGTCGCCTTTTACGACAAGCATAGTCGCCTTTAATGGCAAGCATGGGTTGCTGAAGACCTATTCTACCCCGGATCTTCACGGGTACAGATCTTGAGAACAAGGCTGTACAGTGTTAAGTCTACATAAGCTGCATATAAGGTGTGTAAGCATAATGTGTACTGCCTTGAATCAAATGTTTCATATTTTTGTCTTTGTTAAGTGTCAAGTGAGGACACACTTGCAGTTCCAAATAAAACTGTTTGACAGGTGCAGCTGGTAGAATTCTTCGGCAGATGAAAACCACACCGAACTGGGACATTGCGTGACAAAGTGTCTTCTACCCATTGATCTGATATATAGTACTATCTAACAGAGGTGTATATTTCAATATATCCCAACACTGGCTGTTTAGTGGTATTATGGATATGTATCGTTAAAAGAGTTATCTCCTGTGGGAATCGCTGTGTACTTCCTTACTTCCTGTTGTCATTCTGTGTATGTCGATGTTCCATTTGGTTTGACAAATAAAACTACACTTATACGAAGTCAAATCATGTCCTGGCTGCAGTTGGTTGTTCTAACGACTGGCGCAAGCTTTGAAAAGGTGCATTGTTCATGTACCCTGAAGCTAGATACCGTATTCGACGTAATAAGCACCCAGGGCACTCTCAAAATTAGAAAAAGGGGGCTCTTATTAGAATATTATGTTGGTGAAAATACGAGTGCGTATTATACACAAATAAATAAGTCTTGTGTACATTGATCAATCGGAAGGGGCGCTAATTGGGATTGTTCACTAGCCAATATATTAGCAAATATTGCTGTGGGCGCTTATTACATCGAATACGATATGTGTCAAGTGATGACTGTCATCATGCCAATCGTCGTGTCTGAATTAAAACAAATTGCAACTTACCCCTGTCTTCAATCTTAAAGAAGAAACTGTCTGCGGTAGCATTCACCCCTGGGATCAAAACATATTCAATCTGGTGCCGAGCGACGTCTCCTGCAAAAACAAGAACAACACACATCATTGCTTGCAAGGAAAGGAATCCTGTTTGTCCATAACTAAATATGATTTAATTGTATGAAAGATACAGTACTATTTTCAATGTAGTAAATGTTGTTTTATGCAGCATAATCTTCCAGCAGCATGTCACCTGTAGCACAGCAGCCTGTAAATAATCAAGTCTGGTTCATGGTCAATGGTTGAAGGCATGGGCAACAAAACACACTGCAGTAAACTATGAGTGAGTGAGTGAGTGAGTTGGGTTTAACGCCGCTTTTAACAGTATTCCAGTTATATCGCGGCGTGTCAGCTTAATGTGGGAGGAAAGCCCCAAGTGATGCAGGTCTCAGACGTTTACCACTTCGGTGAAACCCACGAGCACAGGTATAGTGCTGACAAACCTAGAAACATAATCGGGGCGAACCGGGATTCGAACCCACAATCATAGGTTTCTGGCGTGCCCAAGGGACGCAACTCTGCACAGCGAATCACGGCGCCTTAGACGACTGGGCCACCCGTGCCCCAAACTCATCAATAAAGACAACATGAAGTGCCTGTGAAGACAAAATGTATACGGGACATATTACTACCCTATCATGAGTTTTCAGAACCGGTATGATGCATGATACGTCTTCTTCGGTATTGATACAAGATGATATACTAGCTAAATAAAATAGTTACTACTCATTTAATGATCCCCCAGGATTTTTGTCAGTCAGATATAGGAAAATGTGTTGCAATTAGCGATTCAAGTTTACTTCTAAGAATAGCTGCTACGAGCATGTGTCTACAGGTGTAAAACAATCAAGGTGCAAATACAGGCTAAGGAACAGAAAACAATAAACAGGGATTTTTTCACACCTGCTCAGAGACCAATTATCGCCCAAATGCCAGTTAACATTCCCTAATTGGAAATACAAATTTCCCAACTCATATTTTCAACTAATATTATTTTTTGTAGAAAGATGACAGGTATTTCACTGACAACAGGACCAGTAATGGTATATGCTTAGTTACTTTTTACTTAGTTTTACATCATTACATTGAATGCAGTGTAAAACACTCTTGAGTTTCAGATAATAAAAATTCATAAATAAATCCCAATTAAAAAAATAATAATGATACTTCCCCAACTTGCCTGCCACTGGCACTTAAGTTAAAATCACAGATAAATCCTTGATGTAAAATTTTTAAGAAAACTGTATCAATGAAACCTAAATCTCTAAATATCTGAAATTAATCCTCAAAGCAACTTTCAAAGTTCATCTCACGGCTCCATTCAATACATAATTGGCAACACCATATTGCTTTAACTCATCAATAAGTGAGTGAGTGAGTTGGGTTTTAGGCCGCTTTTAACAGTATTCCAGTGTCAGCTTAATGTGGGAGGAAAGCCCCAAGTGATGCAGGTCTCAGACATTTACCACTTCGGTGATACCCACGAGCACGGGTATGGTGCTGACAAACCTAGAAACATAACTGGGGCGAACCGGGATTCTGGCGTGCCCAAGGGACGCAACTCTGCACAGCGAATCACGGCGCCTTAGACGACTGGGCCACCTGTGCCCCAAACTCATCAATAAAGACAACATGAAGTGCCTGTGAAGACAAAATGTATACGGGACATATTACTACCCTATCATGTGTAACAATTTACTTGATTTGTTATCACTACATAAAATCTGTATGTATTTGTTTTAAAATACCATGGATAGAAAAGGTGTCCAAATTTGAACATAACGACTTCATGGCCATGCAACACATCTTTACACACATTCCACTGTATACTCCATAGTATTTTGGGCTCTCTATGTGCACTGGAGAGGTGCACCAAAACATAAAGCATTTCACGTGTCTCACAAAAAAGTCTTTAAATTCTCTTTAGGGAAACACTTTTCAGCATACTGAAGATAGATTGTGCTGTAGACATAAAATACTTTCCTCACAACTAGTCTTAAGCTGTTTCGGTCATTATGACCCAGGAAACACATTTCCACCTGGGTAAGATGGAATATCAACATTTACATGGCGTCATGCGGATCCTAGAGTGATAATAATGATTACTTTCATCTTCCGGTTTGCCGTTATCACCTGTGCATGTATATACCCACGCTTCGATAAACATGCAGATAGTCCACAATGCCTACAACAGAGCAAACATATTCCTCCAAATCATATAGGACGATATGGAGATATTGCCCACATACAGTTCAACAAGACAGGTGCTATGAGATGTTTTCCATCATCAACTGATAACGCAGGAGAAGATGCAAATGACTTACAGGTCATTATCAACCGATATAAATGAACAAGTAATGCTTAATGTCTCGTGGACTGGAATTTCGATAACTGAAATCTGACAAAGTTTGTTTAGAATGCTGGAAAAACATTCCTGCGCGGCTTTGTGGGAGGTTTCTAAAACATGTGTGATCTAATTAGATTCTTGTTGATAAAGGATGTACAAATAACCTTTTCATCTCTTAATGAATAGTGACTGTTTAAATCAAGTGAAAATGATTTACATCATAACATGACATAACAATAAATATTACCAGGGATAAGATCAAACGATTTTACGCAAGATTATATGAAAAAATAAACACAACCGTGTATAAAGCAGAGAAGATGAAAATAACTGAAAATTATAAACAATATTGCAATTTAGGCTTCAGAACCTAGTCACTTTAAATTACCAAGAATAATTGAATGCCTATGACGAAAACAAAACAAATATATTTTACTCCCAAGATGACAATGTTAGAATAGGTTTTCGGCAACCCATGCTTGTGATAAGAGACAACTAGCGGAATCGGGTGATAGGTTTGCTGACTTGATTGATGCATGTCATTGTATTCAAACTGCATAGATCGATGCTCATGATGTCAATCACTGAATTGCCTGATCCAGACTTGATTATTTACAGACTGACGTCATATAGCTGAAATATTGCTAAGTGCGGCAAACCAAAAAAAAATATAAAAAAATAACATATATCTTTTAAAGATGTTTTATGTCAGATGCTGCAATGATGGCTAAGCAGTGTAGAAAGTGGTACTGCATCACTATTGATATAAGCAGTTGTGGGAGAAGCAGTATAGCTGTATTGTGGATATAAGTAGTTGTGGGGGAAGCTGTAATGTATCAATGGTGATATAAGTTTTTGTGGGGGAAGCAGTACTGCTACAATGTAGATGTAAGTAGTGGTGGGTGAAATAGTACCACAGCAATGTAAGTAAAGTGGTGTGGGAAACAGTACCGACAGGTGATACATCATACCCACAGTGCAACATTGTGTGTGCTGGCTCAGACACCTGGATGACCAGCCATGATGGATGACTTGTGTGTAACACTCATTAACCCTTCATGTCACAACGTAGTGGGGAATTAATTAACCCTTGCTGCTTGTGTCATTTAAGTATTGCAAGAATTAGGGAAGAGATTATTTCTCTTGAGAGTTTGATCCAAAAGATATGCAAGAATATAAGTGAGAATTTTATAAGGAAGAGAATTTATGGATGTCAACTTCTTTATTATGAGGAACACAACATTTCGGAGTATATGCTTACTCCTTCATCAGGTAGACATCCATAAATTCTCTTCCTTATGTGTATCACTTCTAAATGCCTTTCAAAAGACCTGAGGGGCGGTCGGGTAGCCTAGTGGTTAAAGCGTTCACTCGTCACGCCGAAGACCCGTGTTCGATTCCCGACAATGTGTGAAGCCCATTTCCGGTGTCCCCCGCCGTGATATTGCTGGAACATTGCTAAAAGCGGCGTAAAACCATATTCACTCACTCAAAAGACCTGAGAATTTTATAGTTCTTCAATTGCAAACTATATCAACTAACAGTAAGAAAAGGACAGGAATGAATTATTAACAGGAAAAGGGATTGTTTAGTTGTTTAGTTACCTTCTTGGCCATCAATCATTAAATATTTAAAACATTATACTTGGATGGATGGTGGGATAGTTGATGGATGAACATGGGTTGAGCGTCTGGATAGATAGATAGATGGACGAGTTGCTGTTGCATGTGTTAATGGGTAGGCAGAGGGATGAATGGGAGGATTTATTTGGGGATTAAATGGGGGGATATTTCAATGTCTTGTCTGAGAGATTCCTTCACTGGTACTTTAATCATCAAGACATAAACAAATAGTGAGTGAGTGAGTGAGTTGGGTTTAACGCCGCTTTTAACAGTATTCCAGTTATATCGCGGCATGTCAGCTTAATGTGGGAGGAAAGCCCCAAGTGATGCAGGTGTCAGACGTTTACCACTTCGGTGAAACCCACGAGCACGGGTATGGTGCTGACAAACCTAGAAACATAATCGGGGCGAACCGGGATTCGAACCCACAATCATTGGTTTCTGGCGTGCCCAAGGGACGCAACTCTGCACAGCGAATCGCGGCGCCTTAGACGACTGGGCCACCCGTGCCCCCCATAAACAAATAAATAGGAGTCATTAACTGTATATACATTCCACAACAGTGGCTAATGACAGCCTGCACAGACAAACACCAATTAACGATCACCATTAATTATTACCACACAATGTGCTATTAGTATTAACACTGATTGGAAATCTAGAATAACTACTATATATAGGTTACATATACATCAATAGACTACATAAAACATCTACATGTTAACTACATCCTAGGAAGGACCAATTAATTTGTTGTTTAATGAACAAGCCTACCACAAATTTGGCAAAAGTCAAAATAAAAAATAATAAAAAAGGATTTCATTCACATTTTCTTTTATTTGTATTTCAATTTGTTTGTTTATTGTATTTATTTCATTTTGGAAATGAACCTCAAATAAATGAAAACCTTTTTTTTAATTTGTCTCCTGCAAATTGGATGTTGGCCATGAAAGTTTGTAAAACATAAAATTAAGATGGTTTGCCTGTAGGGCTTTATTTATACTAGTAAAATATATAAGCTTAAGTGATGACAAATCCAGGTTATTACGTCAATTACAATGATCTAGCCA